CAAGGAACAACCTTTCCTAAGACATGCTCAAGTTTGTGGGATGAAGCTTCCTCCAAGGAGCACTCTGGCTGTACCTTCTCCAAGATACATCTGGTTTTTTGGCAGTCCATGCGATATTCAATACTCTTCTCCAACACTAAGACATCAATTCTTCTGTCATGCTTATCCATTGTCCAGCTCTCAGATGACTGAAAAGACCATGGGCTGAAACAGGTGCAATTTATTCCTCAAAATGACATCAATATTCCTCAAGAATTTGGAGAGGTCCCTGACTACAGATTTTACCAGTGCCATGTCTCCTCATCACCTTACTGCTGGTACCAAGTGTATCAATTGTGGATCCAAGTAAGATGAAGTCGTTGACAACTTCAATCTTTTCATGTTACTTATTGGTTCAGTGGTGAGGTCTTTTGTTTTCTTGACTTTGAGATGCAGTCTATATAGAAGGGTGCGGTGTTTAACCTTCTGCTGCAAATGCTTCAAGTCCTCCTCTCTTTCAGCAAGTAAGGTTGTGTCACTCACATTATATGGAATAAAAAAGTATCTTCATGCAGAATACCCTTCATCCCCTGATCCTCGCAGCTGACATGAAAACCTCAGAAAACTGCCCATGGGAGCAAGAGTATAGAAACCACACACCTGTACCTCCTTGTCTACTGAAACCTCCTATCCTCACAAAACTCTGACCCATCTGGCCATCTAGATACACTTTCACCTCAAGCACGAACCCCTTCTCTATATGTTTCTCTGGAGCAAATGAGGCCCTTAGGAGTGAATACCAGCTACAGACTAGAAGCTCTCTTAGAAGCACTCAGGGACTAGCACTTCTGTTTTCGATTCTTTTCAATGGGTATTCATGACCTACTTTTCACCTACAAATCCACATGAAAGGGAGCCAGAGCAAACAGGCACACAGGATAAAATGCCTTTAAAAGTCAATTAAGCGAGGCTGATTATCTAGTTTACATCAAGAGTGATCAGGAATACAAAGCCCTTCACATTTTTCTCTCCTATTTATGGCTTTTATTGTTTAGAGAAGTCTATGCAGAAAAAGTAAAGAGGAAAGCTACAATCTGAAATTGGGACTACTTGGGTCATGTAAAAACAATATAACGGAAGAGGCAAGACTGAATAAATTATAACATGAATTGTTCCAAAATGGAACATATAAATGCTACTCTCTTATCCTCTATATATATGATTTTAATCCTAACATTTTAGGAGCAGGAAAGGAGGAAAAATTATACACCCAGGCTTAAAAGTCTTTCTATTTTCCTAGATGTCTATTATCTCAAAAAGGCTTCAAAACACCTTTTCTAAGGAAGGCCTTATGTCGGTTACAACACTTTTTTGTCACTATCAATAAGCAGTGATAAAGCAGTATCTCTATTTTATAGCTGGAGAAAAGGTAAATATGTTAATAACTTATTTAAGGTTATACAATGTGTCAGTGGCAGGGTTATTATTTAAAAATAAAAACAAAAACAGTTCTCAAGACTTCCCAGCCTAGTATGTTTTTAATTAGTCTGATTCTTTTCAGTATCAGGAGTATCTTAAACTATTTACAAAGAAAAAGTACAATAATTACAATGGTGGTCACCATTTATCAAGTCCTAATTGTGTAAGGCACCATACTATGTCTTTTATGCTATTTCTTTTCATCTTAGTAAATAACTCTACGAGGCAAGTCCCTTTCTATAGGCGTGGGAAACCATTTAGAGAAGTAAATAATTTATCTACAGTCACTCAACTAGTAAGTGACTTGAGCTTGGACACAAATCCAAATCCAAACTATGCCTATAGCTTATGCCTTTAACTACTGTTTACGATCAAGGACTAGATTTAATTATTTCAACTACACTATTTTCCAATGCATCTGAGAGCTGGACAATGAATAAAGATGACAGGAGAAAACCTGATGCATTTGAGTTGTGTTGGAGAAGAATGGACTGCCAAAAGAACAAGCAGATATGTGTTGGAAAAAGCACATCCAGAATGTAACTTGGAAGCAAAGATGGTGAAGTTTCGTCTCACTTACTTTGGGCATGTTGTTAGAAGAGGCTATTCCTTGGAGAGGGACATCATGCTTGGAAAGGTGCAAGGTCAGTGAAGGAAAGGAAGACCCTCGGTGAGATGGACTGATCTGTGTGACAATGGGCTTAAATGTGTTAAGGACAATAAGGATGGTGCAGGTTAGGACACAGTTCAAAAGATAATATGTTGAGGGTAGCTATGTGTTGCATTCAACTTGACAGCACTTAACGCTTTACCACTTGGGGGGAAAAATTAACTCCCTAGATCATAAAATCAAAAATCAGTTAAAACACTTTATGGTAGTAGAAAAACTTGTTCAGAGATCTGATGCCTTTTTATTCACAAACAAGTCTAAATAAACAAAATCTCTACTGAATTTATCAGTATTGCCAGATGCATGCTATACTGCTTCATTTAAAACCAGGTATTATACTTTCTAGTATTACTTTAAAATCAAGGATCAACACTTATCCTGTTGTAAGTGAAGCAACAAACCAAGAGATAAACAAACAAACAAAAAACACACAAACCAAAAAACAACCAAAACCCACTATGTTATAAAGTCAAGACATAGAGTAATTTTCTAGGGACATCCACAATGCTAAAAATAAACAAACTAAACCCACTGCCACTGAGTCAATTCTTCTGACTTGTGGTGACCCTCTACCACTGTCTGACATTATCAATCTTTGCATGAGAAGACTGTCTCATCGTTCTTCAATGAAGCCAATAGTGGATTTGAACCATCAACCTATTGGTTAGCAGCCTAAGCTACACACCAGGGCTCCTTAGGAAATAAATACATAGATATTTATTAGGTTGATAGCACAACTATTTTGAAGTAACATTTTTTCTATTTGAACTTATTTTTAAGAACTAAAAGAAAACGAACTCCATGACTGTAGAACTGATTCTGACTCATAGTGTTTTGAGGCTGTAAATCTTTTGCTGTTGTTGTGTACTGTCAAATCGGCTCTGACTGGCAAAGGAGGAGATTGTCCTTCCCTCTCCAGTGGAGTATCCGGTGAATTTGAACCATATTCCTTCGGGATTGCAGAGCAGCTTCTTGCCACTAGGCCACCAGAGCTCCCCAAACCTGTAAATCTTGAGGGGAGAAGATCGCCTTATCTTCTAAAGAGCAGCTGGAGTGTTCGAGTTAGTTGCCTAACACAACCCACTATACCAGCGGGTCTCCTTTTCAGTAAGGACTAAGAAATAAAAGCATGTTGATCTGGTTCTGAAAAAGGAATGAGCCATAGTAATATAAAGGAAATTAACATGACCAAAGAAAACCCCATTTTTTTTTTTAAGAAAAAGGCACGTTCTACTGCTATCTAGAGTTTTTGGGGTGGGGAAAATAAGCATTTTTCAGTTAAAGTCTCACTGGAACAAAACCAGTCTATCCTCTCATTTATAACACTGATACTACCAAGGGTTTGGGACTATTTCTTACCCTGAAGCAAATCTCAAATGTCTTATTTTTGAATTTGTATTTCTTCATGCCACCTTTTTTTTAATACCAAAGCCAAAACCTTTAAGTAAACTCTGACTTCCAGTGATCCTCTAGGAGAAAGAACTTCCCCAGAGGATCTCTAAGGCATAGGTCTTTCCAAAAGCAGACTGCCACGTCTTTATCTCACAGAGCAACTGCTGGGTTCAAACATTCTCCTTAGGATTTGAGCATTTTCATTAACTACTGTAACTGACCAGCATTTGTTTTTCTAATACTAGAAAACTACTTTTCAAAATATATTGTTCTTCATCACCAAAATGAGAGCCTCTGTCTTCACATCCCCATTTCATACAACAACTATCATCTCAGATTCTTTGTGATATAGGAGATTACTCACTGCCTAAGAATATTGATACAAGTTCTACGAAATCCATCTTTAAAAATAATGAAACATCTGAGAGCGAAGCTACTGAAGGTACATTTATGGATGCAATTACAATAAAGAGCTGAAATGAGAAAAATGAAAATTTGTCTTTCAGTTAATTAAGTGTTCCAAAATAAACCATAATGTGTCATGAATGCCAGTTGAGATGACACTACTTTTCCAACAGAGCAATATAATATCTTGCCAGTCTGGTTTCTGGTTCTGAAGACAACAAAAGGGACATTACTGCAGCATAGCTTCAATAAAGCTCCTGTGAAATTCACTGAAAGTTATCAAAATGCGTGGTGCTGTGTTATATAGCTGATCCTTAATAAAATACTTTTCTTAGCAAGTGCTAACATTTTCCTTCTAAAAATGGTACCAACATTTTCAATTTCTTTAACATTTTCATTTATAATAGCATTAATTACCTTAAAATGGAAGATGAAAACAAATCAGATATAAGATGTAATCAGATGTAAGATATACAAATCAGATATAAGATATACTTGAATGAAGACTTCAACATACAATACACTCAAATTAAGCAAACGGGCTTGTTTCCTAGGTAAAGAGTCTCCAAAAAAGTAATTCTTTAAGGGAAAAAAAATTGATTAACTACTAATTCTCTCCTTTTTAGTTGAGTAGTTAATAGAAAAAATTGGCCCACCATTTAAAATCACACTCAGTTAATATACAATAACTCTAAATTAAGAATTTCCTCCTTTATGAATTTAATAATTTTTATCAAGAGGCAAAAATATCAACTCACCAGTTTTGTGCCTCTTTTTATTTCCTTTTGAACATCTTCAATAGAAAATCCACCAAGACTCTCGTTATCAGAGTGTGATGATACCAAAGCAGATGAAAAGAGCTATAAATTACATTAAAAAATTAAGATTCACAAGTAAAAAAATTACAGTTAAAATTTAAAAGATTATTTTCTATTTTTAAAGAACAAGATTAATGCTAAACCATTTTTCAAAAATGTAAGTTAGGGTTGTTTGTTTTTTTTTTAAATTTAGGAATATTTGTTTCTTTTTAAAATTTTTGTGAATAAGATCTGTTAGTTGCTGCCAGTATACTTACCATACATTTATGGTGTGCTGCCACCTTCTGGTTTTCAGATATTAGCAACTGTCCACATTCCTTGTCTCGATTGGACTTACAAAAGCCACATTTGCGCTGTCTGGTAGGCCCCTTTTTCTGTTCAACTGAGCTTGACATGATTGAAAAATTGTCTAGAATGCCACTTTAAGTATCAAAAAATGCTATGGAGAATAAAAAGGCCAACAAAAGAATTAATTTCATTTAAAAACCAATGTAAATATAAATTTTTTCATATTTAACCCAAGTTTTAAGAAATTTTTATATAAGTACTTGTAATATAAATTAACTCTAAAAGATAAGATGTCCTCATAAGAAAAAAGCAAATAAAGATGACTGAATGACATTTAAAGCAATTGAAAAAGTTAATTGCTCCCAAATTAGGGGAAGTATGAATGAGTAGAAATATTTTCAAGTCGCTCTGAGGGAAATTCACCATGTATAGTATCATTACCGGCATATAAAAAGGAAAATGTTTTACATGTATAGTTAGGTGCCCCTTCAAGATGACAAAAAAATAACTATTTGATAGCAAAGCAAAAACAACTTAAAATATTATATAATATTGAGCACAAATGTATAAGTGCATAATTTCTAAACATTCACATATTGATAAACCAATGAAAGTGAAATTAATGTACTTTTCTTAATCACGGCTTCCTTAAATTTTTTAACAAGTTAAAAAATCTATTTTTCTTTAGCAAATTAATTTTTGCTAATGTCATCCTTTTTCACATAAAAATCCTATTATTTATAAAATAACTAATAACTGACACTGAGATTTACTCCCAAAGTCTGCTTATTAAAGTAATAAACTGACAGTAGTCTTCTAAACGCAGTAATTTTCATGCTTAAACCAGGAATACTGCATAAAAAGGGAAATCTTTTCCGAATGAGCCTTAAATTAAGAGTCTTCAATTATAATTACAGGTAGTATATAGTCAAGCAAAGGGAAGAAAAGCTCTAACATGGAAGATTTTAGATTTATGGCATCAATCTCAACAGGAATTCTTCAAAAGAATAGTACACACACTGAAAATCAGGTATTCCATTTGTGTAGTTATCCTAAATTAACATAACTAAGCAAATTAGTACCTGTAACATACATTACAGCAAACAAAATCTCAAATATCTGTCTTAAAATTAAGGAACTTCTTTGTGCTTTCTACCTATTTAAACGTCTTCATATATTACACTGAAGAAATTGACTTACTAACACTACACTGTGGCTTTCTGAGACGCACTTGTTCATTTAGCAAGAACTGCAGCAGCTGGGTGCCGGCAAGGTAAGATTCCACATTCTTCTAGATAAAAATTCAGATACTTAATAACTAAAGTCAAGTCAGAAAGAAACATGTCCTCTCATTAATGTCTACTGAGGTTTCTATTTTTTTTTTTTTCATTTAAAACTTCAAAGGCCCTGACTGACGAGCTGAACAAACTCTCAGCGCTCTCTACAATTTTTAAAGACTTCAGTCTTCCAAAAGGCACGGGACACTTTACAATAGTAAGGTATTCATGGCACTAGCTATAAACCATGAAGCTGACTGAAAACAGGCAGCAAATACTTTTAGGATTAAAGGGGGAAAAGGACATAACAGAGAAACAAAAGAGGAAGTGTGTTTGCATTTGTTCAGGCAAGTATGTGTTCAGTTGCTTTATCAAGAGTACAGCTTCCAGAATATTTACAATCAACTACGCAAAACAGCAAAATTCATAAATAGCACCCAAACATGCTACTTGAAATCTAAATTAAATATTCCTTTACCATGATGAAAGAGATAGTAGGCAGTCTAAAGCTAATGTAACACATTCAGTGTTTCTTTCAGTCAATCTGATTGTGTTTGAGGAAGGCACACTAGAAATCTAATCTGTGCGTGCATCCCTAATGTGGGATTTTACATCATCCCGGCACCAACTATAAAAGTGGTGCAAGATAAAGAAAATTCTTTGCGAAGAACCTGACTTTTTCATTTTCAAGAAAAATTCCACTAATACTACCTCATAAATTTCCTCCATACTGAACTGTGCCTCTTTCAATTTCTAAACAGGTACATTTCCTCATCTTAATTGTGAGAACCTGACAAAGACCCTAAAACGTAAAAGAGATAAAAAGGCATACTTCATTTTGCATTCAGCACGTTGGTGTAATTTTTCTATTATAGGTTTCAATTTAATTTGTTTCACTTTAATTTGTAAATTGAATAGAGCCACCAAAATAAAAAGTGCACCAAACCAATTAAAAACTTTCCCCAATGTGCAATGACTAAATGGATTTTTCCACTAAAATTAAAATAATACATCTGTGCATATCTAGCTACAGTATTTTTTTTTTCAACAGTCTCCTTGTAAAACGAAGTGGAGAAGAACATCATGGAAACAATGACTCCCTGCAAAATAAAAAAAAAAGCATCATAAAATAAAGATTTTTATCTAACACTGTCACATTTGTGGTTAAGCAGAATAAGGGCATTCCAAAGACTAATATTTAGGGGTTCAAAATGAGTCACAACTACATGTCATTTTAATTTCAAGTCTAAAAGGTTTTTCAGGGCATGCAGAGATCAAAGTTTGAGGCTTTCATCCAACAATGAAGCCTTTTCCTTTAAGGAAACGTAACGTTTATAATAAATTAGAATGAAAGAGACAAAGATACCAGCAAGAAAAATCGAAATTAAATATCTGGGGAGTGGGGAATGCATAGAAGCCAGGTTAGATTGAAGTAATCAACGTGTTTCTGATTTACCAAGACGCTGTGAAACACCAAGGTAGAAATAATCTGAAACGTTAAGGAGAGCAGTCAAGGACTAATTCAAGAGCTCATTCAATGCCTGCTAACTAACTGAAAGATCATTTTCACAAAAAACAAAACAAACCAAACACCCCCCTCCCCCTCCCCAGTCCCGCGCGCAGTTCCGGAAATTAAAAAAAAAAAAAAAATCCACACACCAGCGAGGTGAAATATACAAATCAAAAGATATAAACGTGATCTCCCAAAGAAGTCGTATTTCTGTCAGGAAAGTTACAGCTGCGAGAGAGAAACGAATAAGATGTACCGGAAGGGCACCTGAATTTGGTTGCACGAAATTATTACATGCTTCGCATTGCTTTTTGCGGTTATTCAAAAGGAAACCGAAGGAATTTTCCAGTTGTTTCAAACCCAAGGGCAAGCAAAGAATCTAAATGGTGGGAAATAGGACCTAATAACACGTTAGTTATAAGCCCACGGAAAGAAAAGATTTGTCAAAGTAGAAGCAGAATCAACTTATCACGCAGAATATGGAAACGAGTAGACATTTCAAAAGACGACAAAGACCACCTTGCTGCTGGCCGATGTAATAAAGGATGGTACACAGAACGGATCGGACCCTCACCGTTATTTACTCCTTAATACACACCAGGCTCCAAGATCGCCCTCTCATCAAGCACTAGACAAACTCGCAAAACTATCTCCCTCTATAACACTTTCACAGGTTCCTTTCGGTCCCAAAGTCAGGGTTGTCTTAATCGTCCTTCTCCAATTCCTCCTGAATACAGAGAAATATTCTTGTATTTCCCCCCTTCTTACTCCCCCAGGAGTTAGAACCGAATAGGCTTCGTTTTCAGCTTAGCCAGATACCCCAATTGCACCCCTAACTTCCCCCACCCCAGAGTTTTTCCTCATTCCATCAGGCTATCCCTTCTGCTACCCTAACAATTCTTCCCCAACTGGGACTCTCCTTCCTTTCCAAATACGCCTTAAGCAAACGCAAAGACTTAAAAAAATATATATATATTCTCCTTTTCCCCCCCTTCTTCTCAAAAATGTTGCACCCCCTCCCCCGAAGCCGAGGCTGCCAGCCGACACTCTCCCACAGCACCTCCAATGCACTTTCTCATCATCTCTTTCCCCAGTGCCTTCAATGAGCCGCGGAGCGGCGCTTCTGGGGTCCTTGACAATAAAGCGAGACCACCAAGAGTCCCCCTTAACAACGGGCAGGGGCGGCGGCCTGGCCACCGCCATCCTCCTTGTCTTTTACTGCCGGGCAGAGAATGAGGGGTCTCAGGGTTCCGTGGGGACTTACCAGCGGGGCCCAGAGGCGGACGGCGGGAGAGAAGCGCCAATAAGGGGAAAGAGAAAGAAGTCGGCCCGGTTCTCCAGCAGCGCCTGAGAGCGGGGCTCTGTCGCCGGGGGTTGTTTCCTTTCATTCGAGGAGACGGGCTCGCGGAGCGCCCTGACGTCGCCCCCCTTGCACGCACACGTCTCACTTAGCGTTGAGACGTCCAGAGCGCGCCGCGGGCCCTAATTGGCCACAGAGACTGGGCAAGCGAAGCCACGGCGCCATAACGCATGTGCAGTCCCCGCCCCCTGTACGGATGGGGCTCGAGGCCCCGCCTCCTGCTCGCGCGCGTACCTTCTATTCTCCGGTCTGCCGCTTCGCCAAGTGTTTGAGGGCTGCATCCAAGAACCTAGAGAAAACGATTCAAAGATATCGCTGTGGGTTGGGCGGAGCAGGGTTAAGCACCAGAACCGTTGTACCGAGGCCCTGGATGACCGATTTTCAGCAGTGGTTCCAGTGGTTGGGCCTGATCCCTTGCTCTTGTTCGCCGAGGCCTTTTATTTCATTGTACTCTCGTGGGCATCCCTTAAAGCTCAAAAGACCTCGTCAGTTTCCCTCATTTTTTTTTTTTTAACACGGAAAGACTGAGAAGCTCACAGTGGAGTCAGAATGACTAGATTTCAGTTCTTGAGCCAATCATGTTAACCTCCGTACCTTATTCTCTTTTCTTTCTTTCGTATTTAAAATGGGGATTAAAAATAGTACCTCACAGGATAATTGCGAGGAAGAAATGAGATAATACAAGCGTGTACAAAGTGGAGGGGGAGAGTCCCTGGCATATTAACCGGACCTCTACATTGGTGAGGTTATCCAAAAAGGCAGTGAGTTTTTCTTTTATAACCCACCCCGTTGTAAACCTAACACCTAAATGGCCATTTACTCCTTTTAGCAGCATAGTTAGACATATATAGTACGTTATGTGTTGGACTTGAAGAACTAGACTCCTAGAGTTTGAATCCCAGCTCACCCAAGCTCTATGACCTTGAAGCTTAAGCTCCACGCCCTTGTCTTGCCTCTCTGTGCCTAGATTTCATCCCGTGGAAAACGGAGTTTATCAAAGTATCCATTTCATGAGGTTGCTGTGGGAGACGAATGAATTAATATGTACTTGTACATCACTCAGAATAAAAACTCATACATGGTATATCCTGAGTACAGATCAACCTTTGTTTTCTGCTAGGCTCAAAGCCCGCAATCCAAGCTTTATATAGAAAAAAAATTCAAAAGCCCTAACAAACCAATGGAAACTGAAAGATGTTTTTCACATACTCTTATTTAATGTAATTTGATATTTTATATAATATTTATTTGTTTTAAATTGTTGAACATTTATAGCTGCTTTTCTTGTAATGAAAGTGGGTTTCCACTGTATTGACCCAATGCTGCTTCTGTATTATTTAGTCATTCTTTGTGGCTTTAATTCTGTTTTATCATTCATTGTTCTTTTCCTCCTGTAATGTCATCCTTAAATTATCATTTTCCTAGAAAAACCCAGCTACTGTGTTGGTATAAAATCGCATTCCATTCAAACAGGTATCCAATCAAAGTGGATTGCTCAGTGTTTGGTGGCAGGGGGCTCTGAGGCTCTTCCACCAAGGCCATACACTACCTTGTTGTGACTCTAGTGGCCTAGTCCAGAGGGAGTTGTGCTGCTAACCCAAACACTGAACCTCTGGCGGTTCTATTCCACCAAAAGCTCTGAGGGAGAAAGATCAGTAGTCTCCTTCTGTGAGATTTATATCTTTTTTAAAAAACTTTATTATTGTGTGTGTGTGTGTGTGTGTGTGTGCCGTCAAAGCAATCTGACTGGTATAGGAGGAGATCGTCCCTCCTTCTCAGCAGAGCATCTGGTGGATTCGAACCTTGCACCTCAGGGACTGCAGTACAGCTTCTTGCTACTAGGCCACCAGAGCTCGCCAAGATTTACCTCTTGAGCTGGAGGGTCAGCTGTAATTCAGTTCCTACTTGATGGCAACTAGTAGAGTACTTGTTAGGTGCCATCAGGTTGACAACAATTCATAGCCACTCTGTGACCAGATCAAAACCTCACCTTATCCTGTACCGTCCTCATGATCTCCACCCTACTTGATCCCATTATTGCAGTCACAGTGCTATTCCATTTCTTTGAGGGTCTTCTTCTCTTTCACGGACCACATTCTTTTCCCAGCACAATGTCTTTTTCCTAGGATTAGTGCCTCCTGGAAACATGCCCAAAGTATATGAGATAAAGTTTCACTATTCTTGTCTCTAAGGGACACCCTGCTTACACTTTTTGCAAAGCAGATTTGTTTGTTCCTTTACCAGCCCATGATATAGTCAAAACTCTTTGCCAACCGCACAATTCAAAGGCATCCATTTGGTCTTCCTAATTCATTGTCTTACTTTCACTTGCCATATGGAAACCCTCATATAATCATTGCCATCCAGCTTGAACTGACTCATAGCTGATCTTCCAGAGGTTTTATGAGGCTCAAGATTGCAAAAGTGAGATTGCACTTCTCACTCAACATGGAGCAGCACAGTCTTCAGGTTAGCATTTCAAATCCCTTTATACTATGGCTACCAGAACTCCCTCCCTGCTGAAGCACTTCTTGGTACCAGATTTTCCCAACGCATCACATCTTTTGGCTTCTTGACTACTGCAACCATGAGTGTCAATCTAAGTGAGATTAAATTCTTGAAAACTTTAATCTTTTTCCAATATGTTATGATGTTGCCTATCAGTCCAGTGGTGAAGATTTCTGTTTTCTTAATGTTGAAATGGAATGCATATTGAAGGCTGGACCCATTTTCGGAAGTAGCATATGATGGTGCTGAAGGACAATGTCCAAGCAGCACTGAAGGCCTTGGTAAAAAAATAAGACCCCAGAGAAATCAATGGGATATCAATTGATGTGTCCCAAACAGGTACAATCCTGGACTCGCTAGTCAATGCAAAGAAGTTTGGAAGACAGTTTCAACTGACTTGAAAAGACGAATACTTGTTTCCATTCTGAAAAATGTGATTCAACTGAATGAGGAAATTATTGACTTAATTAATGAGGAAATTAATTAATAGTATTGTTAGGCTAAAAATCAAAATGGAGGTTGAAGCTCAACTCAAAAATCCTATGTCAGGATATTTTCCTAAACCATATCTGAGAAAATCCTAAGTCAGGACATTTTCCCAAACCAGAAAATCCTATGTCAGGACATTCCCCAGAACCAGTTTCCCAAGACCAGAAACTTTATGCCCCAGTGAGCCACTGCAATGACCCCATATAAAACCCCTAAGCCAGGGCTATTCCACTTGCTGAGTAGCCTGGCACGCAATAAACTCTGAGAAATGTTTCTACCTCGGCATGGTTCTTGGCTTCGATCCAAAACCTTTTGAGTATCATTAAATCACAAGCAAGTAAAATCTTACTGAAGATTATTTTTCAATGGCTACAATAGTAGGATTGACAGGGAAATGTCAGAAGTCCAAATTGGAATCAGTAGAGTTCATGGAATGAGGTGTATCATTGCTAATGTCAGATGGATCCTGGCTGAAAGCAAAGAAAACCAGAAAGATGTGTGTTTGTGTCTTACTGATTATTGCAAAGGCATTCAACAGTGTGCATCAGAGTCAATTAATTACGGATAACACTGGGAAAAAGAAAAATTCCAGAGATATCGTGCTCATGCAAAATCATAAACCAAGGAGTTGTTTGAACAAAACAAGAGGATACTGTATGGTTTAAAATTATAGAAGGTATGCATGGAGGTGGGTGGGTGAATCCTTTTTCCAAATCAATTCAGTCTCTGTACCAAGCAAGCAATTAGAGCAATTCTTCTTTCATGCACTTTATTCATTGTCAAACTTTCAGATGCATATGAAGCAATTAAAATACACATATGAAGCAATTAAAATACAATGGCTTCAATCAAGTGAACTTTAGTCTTTAAGATCCTTGGTCTTTTGCACTTTAAAGAGATACCTAATCGCAGATATGCCTAATGCAAACTGTCTTTTTATTTCTTGCCTGCTACTACTAAATGAAGAAAGTCAAGGATTGCAGCCTTCAATATGAATTGAAGCTCAACATCAAGGAAACAAAGATTCTCACCACTAGACCAATTGGCAGCATCAGTATGAATGGTGAAGAGATTGAGATTGTAAACAGTTTTAGTTTGCTCAGCTCCACAATCAATACTCTTGATATCAGCAGCCAGGAAATCAAGAGATGAATTGCATTGGGAAACTCAGCTGTCAGTGATCTCTCCAGAGTACTGAAAAGCAATGAGGTCAGGCTGGAGAATAAGGTGAGCCTGATCTGGGCCATAGTCTTTGCAATTGTGTGCTATGCACCAGAGAGTTGGACAATGACTAAGGATGATATAAAGAGAATTGATGACTTTGAGCTGTGGTGCTGGAGAAGAGTGTTGAATATACCATGGACTGCTAGGAGAACAAACAGGTTTGTCCTAGAGAGGGTGAAGCCAGGCTGCTCCTTGGAGTCAAGAATTCTAAAGCTTCATCTGACATGCTATGGGCATGTTGCAAGTTCTTGGAGACGGACATCATGTTTGAGAGGGTGGAGAGACAGCCAAGAGAGGAAGACCCTCAATGAGATGGATTGATTCCGTGATTGGGGTAATGGGAGTAGGTGTGGCAGAGATAGTGAGGTTGGCACAGGATAGAGCAGGGTTTAAGGCTCTTGTACATAGATAGAGTCGCTATGAGTCACAAGCGACTCGATGGCACAAAACAACAACAAAAACAACAACAATTGAATGGCAAGAAGCGTGGACTGAAATCCGAAGGCAAAGTCCAAATCCACCAGCCCCTCTTTGGGAGAAGGATGGACAATTTCCTCTGGTGCAATTAACTGCCTCTGAAAACCCACCTCAGGGTCAGCTATGGGTTGGTTCTGACTCGATAGTATACAACAACAACACTGCTGAATATCTCATGGACTGACAGATGAATGAACAAATATATCTTGGAGAAAGTGCAGCTGCAGTCCTCCTTCGAGGCAAAGGTGGTAAAGCTTTGTCTCACATAGTTTGGGCATGTTGCTAGGAGAACTATTCCTTGGAAAGGGACATCATGCTTGGGAAGG